CGAATTCATAAAAGGCTCGATTTGAATCATCGCGACTAATTGGTTTATTTTGTAAAACTCGTGTTAAACTTTTAAAGAAGAGGCGCGCGCTTTGAGGGGGGGGGGGGGGCTAGTTGGTAAGGCATATTATGTAAACTTGAACTGCGCTACGAGACCGCACAGTAGCAGTAGACAGGACGAACTCACCGGGAAATGAGAGTGGGAAGCATCTGCCAGTTCATTGTAGGACATGTGCCAAGAAGAACTAGCCCATCTTTAGCAGCACGAAGGTGTTATGGCAAGCGAAGGGCCAAAGGGCACCGCGGACTCCTAGAAGCCTCGAAGATTGTTAGCCCAGATAAGTGCGCCAGCGAAACATCCAGGAAGAAGATTGGTTTGCTTGTGTAGGTACTACTGCTGCTACTATGAATAATCGTTGCGGTTTAACGTCCCGAATGAAGTACGCCTATGAAGTACGATTATGAAGTACGCCTTAGTGGAGGGCTCCGAAAATTTCAACCACGTGAGGCTCTTCAAGGTGCACCTAATCTAAGTACTCCTCGTGTACTGGTCTTGCTAGGGGAGTAACTATCGACACGCGTCCATGGAGTAATGCGCACTGTTCCGGGAGGCAAGTTTATGTGATTTCAATAAATCAGTTGCTAATCATAAAAAACGCGTTCGCCCTGCCCTCTTCGAATAATAATTAACCACTTCGCCTACATCGAAATACGACTGGTGTGGCAGGGATCAAACCCGCGACCTTCAGGTCAGCAGCCGAGCCACGGATGCACCGAGGCGGGCGGCCTGTCCTTTTCTACTGTGGCGCCTCATCCCAAGCGCAGTTCAAGTTTGCTTTGTAGTATATACACGATCTGCCCATATATAGTACACATATATCGCACACAAATGATGACGTTGGAGAGGAAATAGGATGTCGCACGAGTCTACTTGCACATTATTTTTTGGTGGCTGTTTGTTTTTTCAAGCACTTGCGGTCGAGCACTTTTGGTTTTAAGGATATTCATCTTTCGGAAAAATAAACATACGAAATCGACGGTTATGGCTGATTTTAAAAGTTGCACTGGACACACGCGATATATGAGAACAAGTTTACTTGAGGGCCAATAAACTGTCGGGAACGACGATCAACCACACGAGTTCATTGAAAAGAGCAGATTGTTTTCGTGTGAGCGGCTGGGATCATGGCGGAGCTGGCCTCAACCACAAGATTCTTTCTACGTGGCCTGCGGGATCTGCCTCAGCAGTGCGCCAGGGCAGAGGGACGTCGAGGTGTCCCTTCCAGACGCAAGCCAACGATTAGGGTCACCTTCAAGTTTTTTTTTTTCGTTAGCGATACGCGAGTGGACCATCGAATGCGAGTATTAGTGATCTTATCGCAAACGTTTTCTGCTTTTTCGCAAGATGTGTTGAATGTGCAGGGGCAGCGGTGCCTGTCTGCGTCATCGTACTGATAGTTTTATACAACATTGCTCCCTACCCCCTAACAATAATAACGGCCATATGGGCGATGCAGGATTCATAAATAAATAAACAAATAGATAAAAGGGCTGAATAGCAGCAACATCGTTTCCACGGGGATGACGTGCAACAGCAGCGCGCTAATGCAGTTCCCGTCAAAGCATGGCGCATACGGTTTAACTCTATACGTATGAACAGAGTGCACGGAACTATCGGCAGTCTCAAACGCAAAGGTTAACGTGATAGGCGAGACGTCAGGCCACTAATCTTTTCAAAGTGTGAAACGGTGACCTTATACCGCTCTTGAAATCAAGTGCCATCGGGTGCGCACGTCTCGGGATGACGCGTTCAGTCAGCCGCCGTTGAGCTTTCCCGCGCAGAGCTGCGTGCGTGTTTAGCAAACGCGTTGCTCACATCATATGCACTTGGAAACACTAAAATCGGTACATTAGTAACACGAGGGTTGGTTGAAGAACTCGCACAACAAATTCATAGAGGAAAATGCACGTTCACAGTCGCAAGAAAAAAATTCCGCCATATCCACGAAGTGAATGATGATGAGTGGGCGAAGCTCCGGAGGTAAACCTGGTAAACCATGAATCCTCTGTACATTTTGCCCACTCGATTTTATTACATCGCTCCCCCTAGCGTACGTCGCCGCACTAAATCGAACGATTGCCTTCAACCAATGACACGCGCCATATGTGACATCATTCCTATTTTATAAGATCTCGCGTCTTTCATCAACTACAAGTACCGCTTTCTAGTTTATAACATCTTGCATCTTTTCATCATCAGCTACAAGTACCACCATCTAGTAAACACTACAAGAACTAAACGAGAGGTGGCTACATACAGGAGACGGTACCGCCATCTAGTGAACACTGCAAGAACTAAACTAGAGGTGGCGACATACAGGGGACGGTACCGCCATCTAGTGAACACTGCAAGAACTAAACTAGAGGTGGCTACATACAGGCTACAGGGGACGCACAGCCCACGCCCTAAGGAGCTTCGCTCCTAAAAAGAGTGTAAAAGAGCGCTCCGCCGCACCTGGGGCGTGACGGGTGGCTTTATGTGGTTGCGCAAGAAATTTCTGTAGCTGCACCGAATAATGCTAAGCTTGAGCAAGCACGTATGCAAGGTCACCTTTTCCTTTTTAAACACAAAGGGGAAGGGGTCAGCATGTTTCGGGTAGGTTCCGCGAAGCATCAGTAAAAGCTGAGCAGAGTATGTTTAAGCTATCTTAGGCAGCAGGGCTCCTCAACGATATATCATTCAATGTTGCTGCTATACTATGTGAAGGAAGCCGCAAAAGCCTTTGCACAAAGAAGGTCAGGATGCCTAAGGCAATAGGCATGTTCCTGAGATAGAAATAATGTTGCTCCTGTACCGGTTCTCTGCGACAAGTTGATTGCCTTACAAATAAAGTTTCTGCACAGTCGAGCTTGAAAGGAAAAAAAATAAATAAAAGTGCCCAACGGGGCCCATCAATCCGGTTCCGTGCAAACCAGCCGAACCTCCGCAGTAGTAACCGGCAAAGGTGGCGACCATGTGCATAGAATCCGGATCTATTTCAGTTTCTGATGTGCCATCCCCCTCTCCGAAAGCCTTTGACGCCCGTAGAAAGTGGTGGCGAAGACTTGGCCACATTCCTCGGGGTTGCTGCTGACCTGAGACTTTTCATAAGTAACAAACAAAAAAATGAAACCAGGTGTACACAGCCGAAGGAAAGCCGGCCTTGGTGTGTCGGCGGCAGAGGATCACCTTGAGCGCCGATAAGGAGAGAAACTAGCAGTGCGCGTTGCATTGACCGCTCGGAAGAACGAGAGCGGTAACCCGGTCTCTGCGCCACCAGACACCGTCCGCCAGCCTCCACGTCGCGATCTCGCCCTCAGCCACATTCACACCGGCTGCAGCGCGACACACGGGTACGATTACAGCCCCTACCCATATCCGCCGCGCACGTAACCATGCCGATGAAACGGAACTACTACACTGTCCTCCTCCCAATGAATAGCGAGCGCGTTGTTTTGAAAAGAGGCGCGCATTTTCCTTCTTTTTGCTAGTTTCGCTTCGCCGCGGGCAGCTGACGCTCATAACTGCGCCCTGATATCACAGTTTAATGAATAGCCCACAGAACAAAATAAAAGTAGCTTTACAAACTACATTATCGAGAAGGACGTTTTCAGGATCCGTGGTTTCGCTAGCACGCTCTCATTTTATAATATATGTATAGTTGACAGCTGCAAGGGTGCGCGGCTCTGTAAAACAGTTTTGCGAACGCATCCGTTTCGGAATGATGACCGTTTTCCGGCGAAAAGCAGATTGATACATCGATTGCGTTTATCTCGTTACACCAGTTTTAACGTACGCACTGCTTACGTAATCTATTAAACCACAACTACGGTGCTTTGCCGGGATGGGGCACTAAGAAAACTCTGCAGGCAAGTCAAACACTGTTTGCCATGTTCACTAGCGACAATAATTAAAACAGTAGAGACCGCGCATACCAAGACATGTCTACGCAAAACTGGGTCTCGTATTATGCAGGCTCCGCGTTCACGAAATCTCGATTCTCTTTTAACTGCTGGTCGGAAGTAAGCAGCTTCCTATACAACCGGTCCTGCCAGTAGGACACATCACGTGCCAGCGATGATCACTGGCTTCCCCCTTCCGTTTTTTTTTTTTTTTTCAGTAGGAAAGCAAAACCTAAGCGATCGAGGCTTTAAATGGGTCACTATGCAACACTCGCTACTGCAGAATCGCGGCGAGTGGAACGCTCGACCATTATTGCACGACGTCCCGCCGAAATGACTATCGCGTAACAAAAGCCGATGAAAGTGAAAAGGGAGCGAACGGTGTGCTTTGAGGACACGAGTCAGCATCGCGAAAGCCCTTCAATAGAGCGGGGCCGAAACCGCTCGCGTCGTGACTTATAACGCCACCCGGCGTGACAGCAACTGCTGGCTTGTCAAAACGGGATCAATGGTACAGCACTGGGCCAACGCAAGCGCATTTGCATAGACACAGATGGCTATCCTAACATAAGAGTAGCACACACGACAAACAAAATCGCATCAAATCGTGTCTGTTCTTTTAACGCGATTCTGCTACCTCGGAAAGCTAGACGTAACGAAACACAAACGCATACGAACGATTTACGGCAACTTATTGGCGTTCTAGTCGATGCTCGAAGGTGCCGAAACATTGCCCCCAACTCATCTTGCGACCGTTACGCGTTTTAACTCCAACGTTCACTAGTGACATAACGACGAGCAACAGTAATGCCAAGTGTTGAAATGAAGACAGCACCGCGATTTTGTGCGTGGATAGCTCATGTGCGGGCAGAGCCGTAAAGATACAGCGCTGGTTATAAAAGAAGATTGGCCATCGCCTGGGCGACAGGGATCCGGCACGCAGTGTATGGACGTGACGGGTGCTGCTGCGCCAGGCGTTTGACACAACGTGGCACTTAGTATCGCTGAAATATGCGAAACAAACGAAGGAAACCGCCAGTAACGGCAAGTTGGCCTCACCGCACATCTTCGGCGCAGCTTAGTGGGACCTCTTCAGCCGAGTAAAAGTTGTTGGCGAGAGGTGTGGACCTTTTTGCCGGTGCGTGAAGCGTTTCGAAGGGGCGAAGACGGTACCGTTGCAACCCACGTCAGTCCTGTGCGAGCTGCATACTGAACGCAAACCGCGGAGCAGCGCTAGAAAAACACATGTGTATCGGCGAGTACACGCGAGAAAGGGAAGTTGTCACCGGAAGCCAGCCGCTGAAGGCGTGGCAACAACGTTGCCAGACGACGTAAGGTGAAACCGAAACCGAAAGTGTACTTGTTGTGGGTTGCGGTGGTATGACGTTAATGTAATCAGAGCAATTTTGATTTGAAGCTTTGCGCTCCTTAATGAGGGCAAGTGTCGCCGGATTGTTGTTTGAGATGCCAGATCATATGTAAAAAACGCGTCTCATATTAAGTTTGCTCATTTTCAATCTTCATTTACGCAGTAGAAGTTCGAAGCTTGATTTATGCTGCGTGGGCCGATAGTGAAACGTTAATGGAAAGCTGTGACGAAAAACACACGATTGGCGCTTCGAGGAATTTTATTCTGTTAACACGTTCACCGCAAAAATGATTCTACTCAAGCAGGCTCACTGCGTCTCTTGTTCTGCATTTTTCTTTCATTATTATATAGCTACAATGATTCTACTCGTTATTTAAGTTAGTATCCCTTTCTCCCTTTTCTGTTTAATCAAAGAAACTCAAGCTTTATTCACAACACGCACAAAGTAATGCTGAAGGCCACCCCGGCAAGAAAGTAAGAACACAGCTTGACGAGCCCATGGGGCCGCAAACAGGCAACAAAAGCAGTGCACACATGCCAGAATATACATGCACTAGCGCACCCGTGTGTGTGTGTGTGTGTGTGTGTGTGTGTGTGTGTGTGTGTGTGTGTGTGTGTGTGTGTGTGTGTGTGCGTGTGTGTGTGTGTGTGTGTGTGCGTGTGTGTGTGCGTGTGTGTGTGTGTGTGTGTGCGTGTGTGCGTGTGTGTGTGTGTGTGTGTGTGTGTGTGTGTGTGTGTGTGTGTGTGTGCGCGCGCGCAAACATAGATACTTACCATTGTCAACCCTTCTAATGTTATTTTTGTGCGGAAAATTACTGTCAAAAAAAGAAGGCAAGCTTTTTATAATAACATCTCGGGTTCTCAATCTCAAAACCATGATATGATTATGAGAGACGCCGTAGTGGAGGGCTCCGAGAATTTCGACAGTCATGTGTTCTTTAACGCGCACTGACAACGCAGTGTCAACGGGCCTCTGTAGTATTTCGCCTTCATGGAAATGTGACAGCCACGGCCGGGATCCAATGCAGGAAGGCGTCTGGACCAGAGGAAGCGGCGTCGTGAAGAGCATGCAACCAGACGTCTGGGTCGTGATATTCAGTGAATATTACGAATAAATAATGACACGGCCTTGATGTGGTGACGTGAAAACAGGTATAAGAACACCTAGATATTTATTACACGAAGCAAAACGTTAAGGTGACTGTTCAAACCGCGTTACTTACCTGTGACCTAAATTATTCAATAACTTTATTTAACTTAATTTCGACGCGCAGTTAGTTTATAGGCGACGTGAGCATTGATACGTCTTTCATGTGTGTTGGTTACTAGTGTCAGCGTTAACCTTGCGCCAACTTTCCCGAATCTCCACTGTTCCCATGGCTAATCATTTCGTGTTTTACCTTCTGCGTTTTTCTCCCGAGTCAACTTGGGCTGAATCACGCCGAATTTTTCTTGCTTACATATTGAAACAATATTTCAGGAATACGCGTCCTATATCATTTTCTTTTTGTTCGCAACAATTGATCGAAGGTGTCGCATTAGCGATTTCCATCTATGATAATTTACATGAACGGATTCGACGCAGTGTGATACATAGGTGACGGACACATGTCACTGCTCGATACTGTTTAATAAGTAATATAATCAAGTGCACCAATTACAATCTATTTGTTCACTTATGGCGCAAGCACCTACTTGGTTAGAATGTCTTCTTTGCGAGGCACAAATATGAGTTAAACGCCCATATGCGTCGTTCCCGTTTCTCGCGTCAGATTTTGGAGACCAAGCAGTATAGCAGCAGTTGTAATCGCTCTTCGCGTAAAATAGATTCAAGGGCCAGTGGGCGGCGTTTTCTGTCCAGGGCTCCAATGGCCTTGTTGGGCTTCGCTGAGCTAGATTAAGAAGGGCGAGTTCGCTCTCCCTTTCTGTGCAAGCAATCCAGGTCTCCCGCTGCCAGTTTCTGGGCATTTGCCCCAATTTGGGAGAATTCACGTTTGGCAGCCGTGAACTGCATTCCCAAGAAGTGCGGGCAGCAGCTAGTGGGCCGCACACCACGGGTATATACCGTGCGCAGCCTTTTGCAGGAACAATTTTGTTTTCAGGGGGAAGGGGGGAGCATCTCCTTGATCTAGAGACCGTGATCTTGAGGGGGGGGGGAGGGGGGCAGGCAAAGGGTCATTTTGATCTATGCATGCCATGGATAAATGGTGTAACTTTACTCATAGTCATGGGGAAAAAAGCATTCCGCGGTTGGAGGGTGGGTGCACGGGCCGGGCGTGCCACCCCCTGGCAATGCTACTGGGCTCATCTGGCGTCGTCTACAGAGATTTCTACATGTGTTCGTTTTACAGTCGGCGCCAATCACGAATCTTTTTTTTTTTCTTTGGCAAGGTGCGGGCGCGGATAGCCATTTTCCTGGCGGTCGTGTTGTTTGTTTTCGAACATGTCACGCGAGTTCGTCGGTGATTCGTCGATATGCTTCGTCGGCACTCGCATGTTGAACGCGCGAGCGAATCCACCTGCCCTTTCGTTACTTTGTCTGCCGAGGTGTTAGAGAAGTTACGGCGCTCGGCTTCTGACCCGAAGGTGGCTGGTTCGATACCGCAGCCGCGGCGGTCTCATTTCCACGGAGGCGAAATGCTCGCTAGAGGCCACGTCAAAGAACCCCGGGTGTTCGAAATGAACCGGAATCCCCCACTACAGCATGCCTTATAATGCAACTTCAGGACTCTTCTGATACAGGCTCTACAATACACAGGTTTTTGTATTTTAGTTTTTATTACTTTTAAACACGACGTAAAATGAATGTCACTCACATGACGAAAGGAATGCTGTAATCCATCACAACACTCTATGGTCTTTTATTTTCTACCAGGATCTATAATCACTCGTTCCGAAAAGTTGTCAGTTCCTTCAAACTTACGCGGCAGACTATTATTCATGAGTAGGAAAGCCGGCTATGCTTTCCGACCCTTATCTTTCATAGTTAAGGCAAGTGCCGCAGCTATTGCCGTAATTGTTAATCTATAGCTCTGGCAGAGGCTGTTGGGGTCGATCGTTGGCTTAGAGCCACTATAGGCGGAACCTGTTTGTGTGAATTGCTATTTTTTCCGGGATCCCTGATAAGCAACACATCTTCAGTGTATACTTACTGCGACCTAAATTATGGAAATAAAAGACTTTCCTGGAGTAACTATACTAAGACGCAATCAAAATAAAGTTATTAATCCAAAATAAAGCGTATCATCTCTCTGTGACAATAGATTTAAGCAACGCTCTTTTTCTTTCCTATGGTCACTACTTCAAAGTTAATTAATAAAATTCTACAGTATTATGAGCCGAAATCACGATTTTATTCGATCTGTACATCTATCCATTTCACCACCCACGACTAAGTGCTCTCGCATCAACTACTTAACTTTGTATAAGACGACCGGTTCTGAAATGTCATGGCATGAGTAACGTGTCATGCCTATCGCCTACTTTATGAAACCTATTCCTGGAGTCGTGCCATGGCGTATACTTCACGGCATGTGGTATGCGAGTGTGCGCTGCAGGCGATTCACAATGTGTATCAACCCAGTATATAGAAACATACATTGCAAACTTTATCAGACACTCTGCGTAGATTTGAAAATAAGAAAATATCTGCGGTCAATAAGACCACGATGTGATTATGAGGCACGCCGTGGAGGGCTCCAGGAACGTCCACCGTCTGGTTTTCTCACGGAGGAAGGAAAGGTATACAAGGAGAGGCCCTGACGTCACTCGTTGTGAAGCCGCGATGAAGCTGGAAGTCGGCCTTATTGACTGGGCAAATTCTCCTCTCTTGTTTACATATGAATGCGAAGCAGAAGGCGCGACTCCCTCTGTGTCTCAAAAAGCACGTGGCCTGCGCACCACGTGCGCTGGTGCTATCCGAAACCAACGGAACGGATTTCAACACGCTGTCTTGCCGCGATGCGGTTGACGAAATCTTTGCGTACAGTGGTTGTTGTGCTCTTGCACTGCCGGCGTTTACGATAAACACGGAAAGTTGCACGTTAAGCTTTTTTTTTTATTTGATGTGTTCTTTGTGAAAATAAAGATGATATTTCGGACACCGCGCGATGAACCAGGCACCGAAATCAGTACAGCTTCTTTCAGATCACTTTTTCCCCCTTTTGCGCTTCTCTTGAGGCTTTATGAAATTTTCGGTCAGGCTGCGGGCTAGACACAACGATAAAAAAAGAAAAAAAAATGTCTTCCCTGCAATAAACCCGGAGGTTCGTAATTATGCCAGTAAAGTCGGCGCCACGGTGGAGGTTGTGTGCGTGGCAGCTCATTGAGTTTGCGCCGGTCTCTTTGTTTTCACCCCTCTTTTGTCCAACGCGCCGTGGTTCCTTCGGATATCCCAAAGGCCATGATTTCATTAGGACGAAAGCAGCGAAGACCACCCGAAAGTGCGTGGGAACACGTCTCCAGCGTGCTTCACGCGCACTAGTAGCTACGGAGAACGGAAACCATGATCGCGTTAGGGCGAAAGGTGGGAAAGTTAGCCGAAGGAATGCGTGAGAAAAGGTCAACATCACTTGGTCAACATCGTTCGAACGGCTTTGTCAGCTTCTGAATGCACAAGCACGCGCATCTAGTGAGGTGCACCTAGTTACCTTGTGCAGGTGCGTGTAGACATTTCAACGAGTTTTGCTACAATACAGACAATATTGCGGAGAGCGAGACAATATTGCAAAGAGGAAGCATCTTAAGCGAAGCAGAACAGGAACTTTAATGCGCAGAAGCATGTGGTGACTGTACAGGAACATGAAAAGCAAGATTAGATTACAGTATTAATAAGGGCCTGTGGACCGCAAATGCATCGTCCGTTGTCATAAGAAGCAACACCGCATAACTG